CAATTTTTGCATTCCCTTACTCAAACCAAACGGGAAAATGTACGAATGTTGGAGAAACTAAAATAAAAAAAAAACAATCAAATTTTCCTTGTCGGTTATATTAAAAAAACATGTTTAAAAGAAAGGTTGTTGCATATATATATATATATATATATATATATATATATATATATATATATATATATATATATATTCTTGTTTCTTCTTATGCACATGCAACACACGGCAGAGTAATGTAGAACCGTGTAATAGAGAGCCGAGTTCGAATTCCAGTTGAATTAATTACATTCACTTACGTGATAATAGCCCTAGGAAAGGTAGGAATCCAATTCCTTTTACCCCAGCTATGAGTAAATAGTAGGGCAGACTGGGTTCCATAGCCTTGGGTGGCAACCCGAAAAGAAAAACTTTAAATTCAAAACAGTATGTAGCCCTGACGAAGCACATACTTTGCAGCCAAGGAAAGGCTCGTTCGTTTTTTATCTATATGCACGTTGGGGCTATAATTATTTAAAATACACTAATATCTATGTGATGCACCCGGTGCAACAAAAATGTTATGTTTGTGTTCCTTGTAAGTATAACACACACACACACACACTCTCTCTCTCTCTCTCTCTCTCTCTCTCTCTCTCTCTCTCTCTCTCTCTCTCTCTCTATATATATATATATATATATATATTGAACGCTTCGATTGTTTACTGGAGAACATATCTAAATTTGTTGCAGAAAAATATATCGTAAAATATATCGTTCAAAATCTTTCAAATATTAGTTTGACGAAAAGCTGTCCTTTATTCTGAGATCGTTTTAGGAGTTTCTAGTTTTAATTTCACTGACAAGATTCAATAAAAGATCAAGCGTATCAAAACAGGTTTGTAAAGATTTGTTTTGAGAATTTGAGAAAGATGCTCCACTGTTGAGTAGAGTCGTTGCGTTTGACAGCGATCAAATCAAGACATTCCTTGACAATAATTAATGTTATACGATTATTATACAATATTCATTATACTCAAAATAGTCATATCAAGCGATAAAAATGATTTGCATCAGCTTCGTTATGTTAGTCACTTTAATGTGTAGCTTCCGTTCTCTCTTCGCTATTTATATATAAGCCTAATGTTATTTTTCTCAAGTAAATGCTAAATGATGAGGACAAAGGAAAATTTGAAAAAGTATCAGGTCAGATATCGTACAATAAACAAAATGAACAATTACTAACCGTACCAAATGCATGTCCTATATCCAAATATGCTATGGTTAGATTGGAAGGAACGGTTGATTCATCTCAGTTGGGCAACATGAAGACGAGAAGTGACAATAAGCATCTGTCTGCAATTAGCAGAAAGATCCTAATTTACCATCAGAATAATTTTGCTCGATATATTTCTTGACTCGACAAATCTTGTACCAATTTCTCTGCGACGGTTTCTTTTTTCGGTCGTCTTCAGCAGATATTACAACTTCACATTTATCATTTATTTCTATTTTTACAGAATTCTTTTCAAGAAAAAAATTTCACTTCCATCGAAAACTAAAAAGGACTTAAAGCAATTGTTTGCTGAGGAAGTTAAATGATGAAAAGTACAAGTTGAAAGAACAAAATTGCCTAAAATATGGCAGAAGACAGTGGTAGAAAATGTTAAAAAATGTAAATATATTGTTTAATAAAAATGATATAGAAATTTAAAAGTATTTTACTTATTAAATTGGATGAATATTTCTGGCAATCCGATTTCTTTCATCCGGCACCCTTTGGAAAATGCCGTATGACATAAATCACCCGGAAAACATGGACCTTCGATTGTTAAGTTACTATAATAATTTTATATTTGATTCATTCAAAAAACTTATAAAATTAAAGCTAATGCAATTCAGTATTTACCATTTAACAATTCATAAAGAAATAAATATCAAAAAAATTTTTTATTCATAAATTTATAAACATTTACTAAATTATTAAAATATGTGAACCAACTGTAAAGAAATCCTTATTATTTACCATTTTATAAAGTTCGAATCAATTGGCAATGAGCGGATGTTTTGCCAACCATTCTAATAAGCACTACAATAATTAGTATAAATAAAAAAATCTTATTGTTTATTATTTTTATTGTCAGTTCTCAAGAATGAAAAAATGTGTAAATTCACTTTTATTAGGTTTTATTACAATTCTAATCATCGCTTTTTAAAACAATAAAAATTGTCGAGGAGTGAAGGTAGTTAAGATAATAGCGGTGTCAACGGAAAAATTGTCCTTTTGAAAATGTGTTTTTACGGTCAGGAAGTTGCAAGTTTGCCACTCACCGCTAAAAAAAACTTTATGTAAACATGGTCTTGCCAGCTCGTTCGGTATATATATATATATATTACCGCGTTTTCAAAAGTAGAACAAAACTTAAAAGTGGAAATAAAACAATCATTAATGTTTCCAAACAAGATTCTTTTTGTTTCATGTAATACAAATTCTATTAAAAAACGTATACACCCCTTAAAAAAACCCCAAAAACTATGTATACTTACTATCCTGAATGGATAAATATGCAGTTATACATAAGAAATAAGCAAGACCGTATCACGAAAACATTCTGCTGCTGTCGGCTGCTGCGGAAAGTTGTAACGACTGGCTCTGCGAAGGTAGCCACTCAACAAACAAATGACGTCTGATTCTAAACAGTAGCGGACCATGGATGTTGCGGACTAAAGAGGTCGCAGCTCAGCAACTTTTAGTACACACTTCTTGCACATAGAAACATTTAACACACACACACATATATATATATATATATATATATATATATATATATATATATATATATATATATATATATTGAGGGTAGAGAGAGAAAGAGAGAAGAAAAGAAAGAGAGTGAGAGAAAGAGAGAGAGAAAAGAGAGTGAGAGAAAGAGAGAGGGAGATGGAAAGCTTGAGAGAGGGAGAGAGAGAGAGAGAGATGGAGAGAGATAGCAAATATACAAGAGAATTTGGAAAATGTCCATTTAGACATGTTTCGTCGATGAACCGGCGTTATCAGAAAAAAAGAATTTTAATTCAAAAGAAGCAAATTATCAAACACAAAATCAAATTCACGTTAAAAACATAAACGCTTCATTTTGTAATTTAATTTTATCGCTATGGCAATTAGACTTTAACTAATTCCAACTCCGTTTTTATCTAGTTGCTTATTCTCCGCTAATTTGTGGAACCAACTCCCAAGAAG